TTCAGCAAAACTGAACTATTCTGTTCCCAAATAAGAGATATATTTTCTCCTAGAAAAGAACAGTTGTTCTTTGATTGAGAAATCTTCAATACTGCCCTACAGGATTAATAACTTTCTCTGCTCTCTCATGCAATTTTGTTTGGTATTTAGTTTTTTTTCTTTCTCTCAGACTTGACTAAGATTCTTACAATAAGAACTTTTCTTTATTTACCCTGGATTCTAACAATATGAAATGGTCAAACACATGATATTTAGAATAAAGTGAAATCATTGTAAGATAAACATTTGTCATTAGAAGTAATTAAATAATAGGAATGGTGTATCCTGGATATGTCCATGGTTTATTGTAAGATCCACAATGTTCTTTAATAAAAAAGCAATAATGAAGAATTGGTTGAGATTTTGCTATTGTCAGTTGGTCTAGTTGGCTGGATGGTTAGCTTTTCTGTTGCTAATAGGTTGGTTGCTTTGGTTTATATGTAAGGACACAGAGAAACAGCATGATTAAATGTCTTTAATGTCATTAAACAGCTCATTAAGTGAAACAGTCAGAACCTGAATCAATATCTTGATTCCTGCTAAGCCACAATGCTTTTACTTATTTATTTATTTTACATAGTGTAATTCATTCCCAATAAGTCACACTATTATTTCCACTCTCTGCAAATTTCTTAAAAATAATGATTAAAAAATCAGGGCATCTTACCTCTGTTAGCATAAGAAAGCCCTAAGGTCAGGCAATGTGGTCCAAAAGAAAGAGCTTGGCTTTTGGAGGAAAGATGGCCTTTGAAACCCTATCAGCAGTACTGCTAACTGAGGCCAACCCCACCCTCCCCTCTCACCTTTTCCTCCCTACTCGCCCCCCACCCTGGCTCTATATATCCTAATCTATAAGAGGGTTGTAAGAATCTCTACACCCCATCTGTGAAGCTAATGATAATGTGTGAAAAATCTAGCCCTGCACCTGGCACACAGTCAACAGTTTGTTGACTCTGAAAGAAAAAGCTGTATTTAAAGATGTGTGTGTGTGTGTGTGTGTGTGTGTGTGTGTGTGCGCGCGCGCGCACCCGCGCACGTGCATTTGGGGAAGAAAATTCATGGTTATCATTTTTCATATGGTCTGCAGCAAATAATTGTGAGATGGCAGTATTTTTCAAATTCATCAGATTATACATGGTACCATTCTAACTACCTTCCCAACTTGGAATCACAATTTCTAAATACTTATTTCTACTCTAAAGGTGACTTTAACAGTTCAACTTTCTAACCTGCTGCCAAAGAAACACACCAAAAGAGAAGTGTGTGGCAAATCAGTTTGCTTTTAGAATTCTTGCAAAGGAGAATTTCTTTGCATATAGTATTGGAAATATTTAATTGTATGATAAGCAAAAATGGGAATATTGAGCCTTGGGCTTACATTACATTGATTTTCTTCCTTGTGGGTGGAAAACATCTCAAATGAGGGGGAAGGGGGAGTAAAAATAATTCCCATGAATTAATGAAAAACATAGCAATCTATTACAGGGTGGTCCTTTAACAATTAGCAAAACTCATGACCTCTGGGATCTTAATATATTTTTATCAGTTATTTATATGCTAGTAGAGTCCAAGGGGAATGTATTTAGTAAAAATAATATCTATCTTAGGAACCGAGAAAATAGTTGCAGTCACAGTTTTGTTACATATTAGTTGTATGACTTTGGATAGTTCTCTCAGCCACTTTGATTCTAATTTTCTGACCCCTAAAAGGGAGTTAAAATACCTTGACTGCTGTGTTTTGGGTGTGAGAACTAAATGACAAAGAATATGTAAAATTCAAATGAAATTGTATTTCAGCAAAGGGAGCTTTATTATCACCTCTATAACTGTTAAATTATATTATCACTATTAAAATCATTTCAAGCTTTGATTCCTTAGAAGAGAGTAAATACTGATCTTTGATTATTTGCTTTTATTACCATCAGAAATGAAACATTGACCCCACACTCCCCAGTAAAGCTGGAAATCACAGTACTGGTATAGAAAGATTATGTTTTCTAGTCAGAATCGTGTAACTTAAAGTCCAGTTGACTGTATATGAAGTGCACCACACAGAAATAAAGTTGTTGTGTGGTTGTGATTTCTTTTTAAAATTTGGTACTTTCCTTTAGAGAAGGGTCCACATGAAGGGGTCCAGAGGAACAAGATAAAACAAATATCACAAGCATGGACAGAGCTTTAGGGTTTTCAAGATATCTCTCTTTGTTTACATCAATCCCGTGGTTCCGTTAACATGGGTACCTGAAGCACAGGAAGGACCTTACGAAAGACTAACCAGTCTACTGTCATCTACACTGTTGTAAAAGGCATGATGCACGAGAGGTTGGTTCATCGGATCCCTTTGTCCCTCTCATAGCTCAGAGCCGGTTCCCCTTTTATTTTTGTCAATAACACTTACTTTTTGTTCCTCTCCTTCCAACTAGGAAGTGCATCACTGACACAGACACAATATACCTTTTCATAAGGAAGGCAAATGAATATGGGCCAGATGGGCCGAGGGCATTACAACATGTTTCCTGCTCCCATGGTGACTCAATGGGGCTGGTATGAGAACGTGTTTTATTCAAGAAGTCAGCTTCCCTGGCAGAATTATGAGTCAGTTCCTGGGTAAAAAGCTCACCCTCCAACATCTGAGGGGGTGGTGGGGGGGGTGCTCTTCGGATGGATTACAGGAAAGGTCATTCAGAAAAGCAACTCTGCCAGGACCAGTGGGGAGGCACCAGCACTAATGAGCCACTAACTCCTGAGAATTCATCCATCTCTAACAAGGTTAACAAGGTCATTTTTCCGTTTCCCTTCAAGGTGAGGACATAAAACCACATTGACGAATTGCTAGTATGAATACAAACAAGTTCTATTATAAACTTTATAATTATTGACCAATTAAATAGTTGACCAACTTGGGCCAAAAAAAACAATGTGAAGGGACAGCTTTTCATTCATTTTATATATATATATATATACATATATATATATATAGACCTATGCCCATCATATATCTATCTGTATATATGTAAACACTGAGCTCCTACTATGTGTCTGTGCCAAGCTTTACTCCAAGTGTACGGGTTAACTGACAAAATGTACAAGTCCCTGTCCTTGGGGAATTTAAAAGCAGAGAAATAGGAAGGAACAGAGGAAGAGAGAGAGAGAGAAAGGAGAAGAAAACAGGGATTGGAAAGGACAAAGAAAATGAAAAAAGAGGAGGAGGAGAATGATTGATACAGTGACAAAAAACGAGTGTTAAGAAGAAAACTAAAGAAGGATAGAGGACTAGAGCGACTGACCTGGCTATTTTAGTTAAGATGGTTAAGGATGGCTTCTGTAAGAAGATACCATTCAAGGATAGAGCTAAATCAAATAAGAAACTACAATCAGGGGTTATACTCAGCATATTTAAAATCAGGGCATCAGGGAACTGGCCAGTCAAATGGAACACTCAATTAAGCAGGGTAAGACGCTGGTTTAAACAGGCAGTAGAGCTCTTTACTAGAGCATCCCAGTTGAATATCAGTCCTGCTTATAATTCATCCTTTCCTCTGTAAAGCCTCTAAGGGCCAACGAGGTTAGAAGTTATCTCTCCTTCTCTTGGCTTTGAGCTGTACTCTGTCCAAGTTATACCACTCCTTTAGTGCTATTTTTGATTTCCAATAAAATGTCTTAAGTGGTGTAGCAAAACCAAAACACACAAAGGAAAAGTAATCAAGATGGTAGGAAGACTTAAATCCATGCCACATGAAGAACAGTTGAAGGTATATACTGGAGAACATGGCCATGGTTGGGTGACCCCTGTTGAACATCTCTGATGGCCTCTTACATAGAAGAAGAATTAAATCAATGAGATTCAAAGTATGATCCATGATCTTCAGGGAAATTATACATGGGAAGGTTTTTTGTTTTTTTTTTTAATGAAGATAACTCCGTTCCTTGAATTAAAATTAGAGACTCATGGAATGAGGTATTTTCCATTTAAATCAAGCAGTTGAACCAAAAAAATGTATGGATGTGACAAAAGACAAATTTCAGTTACATGTACTAAAATTTTTCTAATAATGTGATCAGTTCAAAGACATCATGGCCAAAATGAGATGATCACTAGTTAGAGGTACCATTAAATAGTTCTGAGAAGTACTTCTACAGATGAGATGAGACCCACGAAGACAGACTTTCAAGTCCCCTGTAACTCTGATGTCATATGATCCATGTCCAAGATAGCTAAGTTTGGTTATTTAAACTCAATAAATATTTTGGCTGCATCTTCTTATGCTTGTGAAGCAACATCCAAAGAAAGAATGAGCCTAACGATAGGGTCTTTCTTTCCTCTGTGTGTGCTCTCCATGTGCTTAGCTGCTCAGCCATGTCCAACTCTCTGTGACCCTTTGGACTGTAGGCCTCCAGGCTACTCTGTCCATGGGATTTTTTAGGCAAGAATATTGAAGTGGATTGTCATTTCCTTCTCCAGAGGATCTTCCCAACTGAAGGACTGAACCTGTGTCTCTTGTGTCCCCTGCATTGCAGAAGTCATCAGAGCAAAACTATCTTTATTTATTTGTTTTTATAAGGTATCAATGGGCTGTTACCACCAAGGCTTTCTCTGCTACTGGCTCAAGTTTGGAACTCAGAAGTCATCCACTACCACTGTCATTTCTTTTCCCATAGGACCTGAGGTAAGGGGAAGAAATACGATTCTAGTTGCCTTAGATGTGAAGGTGAAGAAAAATTCCTATAAGTAAACACATGCAACCAGTCCTCCCAGTGTACTTTGCCCCATAAAGACTAAAGATTTCAGTAGTTCTTGCCATCATCACAATTATATGATTCTGTAAAATATAAGATTTTATATTACCACAGAAGTCAATGGAAGTAAGCAACATTATGTTCTCTTAACCCATTTTCAGACATACAACATTACCCTACATGTTCTCTGCATCTTAATAGATTGTTAAAAGACATTCACTCACCTGAGGCATCGCTTTGCAGGATCCCATAGAAGTACAGACTCATTACACACCACAGAAGTCCCATCCTGTCAATAAAAACATAAAGGTAAGGAGAGAACTTATTACCCTCAAGTGCTTAAATAATACTAGTGCATATGTAGCCCAACTATTGACTAGGAACTACTTTAAGACTTTTACAATATTAACACAAAAATACAATTATATTTATAATAACACATTTTTTATATTTATTAACAAATAACACAACCATAAAATTACAATAATTTTACAATGTTAATATTGTCAGAACCAACCAGGAAAATAGGCTTTTTTTATGTCACCATATTACAGATAAGAAAACTGAGACAAGTGTAAATAACATTAAAGATCCTTTGGCTAGAAAAGGGTAACTGGTGCATCTAGCTTGTGCATGCTCAGTCACGTCCAACTCTTTGCAACCCCATGGACTGTAGTCTGCCAGGCTCCTCTGTCCATGGAATTTTCCAGGCAAGAATAATGGAGTGGGTTGCCATTCCCTTCTCCAGGGGATCTTCCTGAAGTCCCAGCGAACAAACCCTTATCTCTTGAGTCTCCTGCCTTAGCAGGCAGTTTCTTTACCAGTTGCAGCACCTGAGAAGTCCCAGAAAGTGGTAGGGTAATGATTAAATTACAACAGCCTGGCTCTAGAATGGTCTCTTAATCACTGAACTCTGCCTACTTAAAAATATTTTTTAGATTTGTTTTTTTTCACCACAGTTGAATTTCTGGCAGATAAGTTTGTTCTTCTTACCCTTCATCATATTGTCTTGGTTTATTTCCACTTGGAAATGTTTTATTATCTAGACACTTTTTCTTCTTAATGAGGAACAGAAAGTCTAGAAATCCTAGATTCAGACTTGGTTTGCAGTCCACCATACTCTGAATTTATAGTAAAGGGAAGTGTATAACCCTCATGTCTTACTGTGCCTGCTCTACTCTTCCTATTCAAGAAACAAATGATGAAGCTGGATTCCAGTTTCTGTAATCTTTAGCCCTTCTGTTGGTAACCAGCTGAAACAGTTCACTAGCAAGAATAATGCCCTTTTATTTGGTTGTGTGATCTTCAATGCAGAAGGGCTGGAGGTATAACAACTCTGTTAACTATTTCTTTCTGCACTACTCTAGACATATCTGGCCCCTGATAAAACCTCTGTGGGGTTATAAATACTGAAACCTGAATATTACTGAGAAATTCCATATCAAGGGCCTCCACTCTCTGTTTTGAACATAACAGCCATACGGGGGGTAATTACAGAGGTCTTGGTAACTTGTCCAGATCATATTTCTAGTAGGTGGCAGAGATGAGATGTTTATCCACACCTGACAAACTACGTCTATTATCCCAAATATTAGCCTATGCCACAATTTTCACAGTAACACAGTAGTCTAAAAATCATAGAAGTGTTTAATAAATAGAATGACCTACTAACAGCATTTGAAATGGGACATTTATAAGAGTGCTACACTGAAACAAAAGGTATAAACCAACATTGTTCAAGCCATCCAGAATGTGTGTTCATTTTAAAGGATGATGCAAGTTTCATACACTTGTCACCTCTATTGGCCACACATCACCAAAAATCTCTAATGTGCTTCTTTCTTAGCATGACTGTACATCAGAGTCCCTCGGAAAGCAAGGAGATCAAACCAGTCAATCTTAAAGGAAATCAACCCTGAATACTCTTTGGAAGGACTGATGCTGAAGCTGAAGCTTCAATACTTTGGCCACCTGACACGAAGAGCCAACTCACTGGAAAAGATCCTGATGCTGGGAAAGATCGATGGCAGGAGGAAAAGGGTACAAGAGAGGATGAGATGGTTGGGTGGCATCACTGATTCATTGGACATGAACTTGGGCAAACTACAGGAGATGGCGAGGGACAGGGAAGCTTGGCATGCTGGACTTGCATGAAGTCCATGGGGTTGCAAAGAGTTAGACATGACTTGGCAACTGAACAACAGCAACACAAATCACAGGAAAGTTTATTATATCTTAAACAACATTTTATCTCAGAAAGTAAATGTCTGTTTCTTAACACCACCATTCCCTTCTAATCCTTATACCATTACCTTAGGGAGTTTTCCTTTCAGCATTCTTTAATTCAATAAAACATGCATTGAACACTTTCTATTTACAAGTCACTAGCCTATAATTGCAGAGACCTCTCTCAAGCAAGATGTAGGGCCTTCTCTAAAGGCACTTATCCCCAGTAGAGGAAATAAACCACATGCAAACCACTTCAGCATCATCAACTTTGAACAATAGATATGCAGAGGCACTACAAGATATTCAAAGATTTATCAGACAGAAGTTTGAGCACTAAGCAGAGTCTAACAGAAACTTAAAGTGTGTTCAAGAAATAGCTGCAATACAAAGTAAAGTGATAAAAATAGAGAGGCGCTGATAAGTGTTATTGAAGATTAGCAAAAGAAAGAGATTACTCCAGCTAAGGCAGTCAAAGAAGACTAAATAGAAGAGGTAGCTTTAAACTGAAAGAAGTGGTTTGGAAATTTAGAATTGAGGCAGAAGGAAACTGTGCGGGAAAGAAACTCAGTGGAGAATAATGCTCAGAGGAAAGCATGGAACATAAATAGGAAATCAACTATAAATAATTCAGTTTGACTCAAGCACAGGGTATTAGGGAAAGAACTGTAAAGATTTTGGTAGAAAGCATGGGGTTTTAGGATCAGAATATTGCACGATCTTGAACAGTAGGCTAAGAACTTGGGATTTAATTTAAACAGCAAAGAGGGAATCACTGACATTTTCTGATCAGAGGAATGATTTGGTGATCAATTTATGCTGTATGGAGGTCATTCCTCCAGGCATATATTGGATGGATTGCCACTAAATTCTGTCTTGAAATCAATTTGATTCCTGAATCGATCATCACAATAACTGTTATGCTCCTGGTTTTGTGTCATCCATAAACTTGATGAACATTCCACCTATGTCCTCATCCAAGACATTAACAAAAGTAATTAATAATTCTGTATAGTTCTTGTCAACAGAGAGCAAGTAGACACTTAATTGCTGATATAAGGCAAAGTCATCTCAGTTCCAACACTCAGCTATGATAAAGGATTCTAACCTCCCAAATTGTTTTTGGCTATTAAAAAAAAAAAAGCCTCACACCTCTATACTTTCACAATTTGTCTGTCTATAAGCTGCTGAGTTCCTATGGCCACACTTTGAAGACATTCTAATTAGTGTGTGATTGAGAGTCTAAATTGATAATTCCAGGAGTAACTGGATTATGCTGGAGGCAACAAGGAGTCAGGTTACCAAGGTAAACTTAATCTAATGTGTGCAAATACAAATCCAGGGTCAGTCCTGCCCTATGATGAATCAGAATAAATCAGACTGAAGAGAAAATATGATTGTGCAGGCTGGTTTTAAAAGACTAAAGGTACCAATGATCTGAAACGTTTCTGAGAAGATTGATTCATTTAACATAGACTTGCATTCAGCCTCAGAAGTTTACTATTGTTACAAGTAATACCATTTTTTTTTTCTTTTCATTCTTTTCTCTTTTTTTTCTGCATTCTGAAGCATGCAGAACTTTCCAGATCAGGGATCAAACCTGCCACACCCCCTGCAGTGGAAGCTCGGAATCTTAACTACTGGACCACCAGGGAAGTCCAGTAATATGCTTTTGATTCTCATGTCTTGTGGAGAGTGGGACTGAGTTTTTTTAGACCTGGAGAAACAATCAGAAAAGAAAAGGAATCTATCTAAAAATGAAGGGTTTCTCATGGTCTGAAGTACAACCTAGCTTTACATTATTGTGATGGGGTTTAATAGCTTCTGCCTTTGCTTCAGATGACTAGAACCTACATACAATAAATTCCTAGTCATCCTTCCCTGCATTTTGTTTACTATATGATCATTCCACATTTCCTCTCTTAGATATTAGTACTTATCTCATATTCAATGCCCTTGTTTCCTAGTATAATGTCTACATCACCTAGCAAGAAGTTTCAAGTATGTACCTAGTTTTATGTAATCACCATGATAATAAAGATTGCTATCACATACTCACTTTAACATCCATCCATGCAAATTAATCTTTCCAGTGTCTGCCTTCTCTAGGGACATTAAGCTTCAAAATTTCCTTACCTCTGAGTTTGCCCTGATCACACTGGCCAGGAGATAGACTGAAACTAGGCTATCTACGCCTAGATAATAATTCAGATTATCTCTGAATCTTCATTTTCTCAGTCTTCCTTCTATACAACAGTATTTTACAAGACCACAGACTAGATTCATCCATCAGTTTCCTTAATTCCACATACAGCTCCATAATCAGACCATAGTCACTCTCTGAATCTCAGCAACCTGGTTGGGGCATGGTCCTTCAACTTGCTTCTTATTAGCATTCTGTTCTAGGAGCCTGCAATTTTTTCCCCTGTAATATCTTACTCTAAGTTGGATAAACTTCATCTAACCATGAAGCTTTATCTGCTTCATTTGTGGTTGATAGATACTATGTGCTTTGACCTGACTGCTGAATACTTGGACGTTAACACCAAGTCACAGAACCTAGATGGTCATCCACATGCAGGATCAGCCCTGCAGCCCAATTATTTCCTTGAGCCTGAATTCCATCTAGATCTTTCTTTTCCTTTTTCTAATATACTGATAACGTTTGAGCAGGTCTTGCTTCAAAACCTTTCAGCAAAGTAACATAATAGGCTCTGAATCTGGGGATAAAGAAGTTAGCATATTCCACTTTGTCTTTCTTAATGAATGTAGCTATAAACCTGGGGAGAGTACATGGAGCAACTTTCTGAAGACTCTAAATTGGAAGCAATAGCACATTCTTTTCAAGTATGCATAAGCATTCACCACAATATCATGTACCATAAATCAAATTAAACAAATTTAAAGGAATTCAAATTATACTCTCCAACCATAGGATTAAACTATAAATATAAAAAATAAATAACATGAAAAATCTCCAAAGATTTAAGAATTAAAATATATACTTCTAAGTAATACACGGGACAAAGAGAAAGTCTTGAGGGAAATTAGAAAATATTTTGA